CAGTGAAGAGAAAGTGAAGAGAAATTCAGTGCATCTTGAAAAATGGATAGCATATACAGTATGTATGGGAGTGTGGATGAAACCTACCAGCTTCAATAAAATAGCATTTACTCAAACCAAAAGAGAATTTAGTTCAAATAATTCAGGCCATAATGTTATAATTAGATGTTCTGGATCAGCAAGTTTTAATGAGGTTAAAATTATGCACATCAACACTTTTTAATACTAAAAGGATTTACATTCTGCAAGATATTCTGGCATGATATTTCCAAATCAAATAACAAATAAAGATGTATTATTTGCCTATCATTTTGTACTTCTAAGGTTATGATTTACTGGTTCTATGAGTATAAAATATATACTGGTTTAAAGATAAATTAAAATTTTCTAAAGCAACATGTTATCATAGTTTTCTGGGGAAAGAAGATAGCTTGTCAGTTATTTCGAAGAATGTCCCATTAAATGTTTTTCATTTATGATGAGTTTTTCTCATTTTACAGCTTTTTGCTATCAGATGACCAAGCATACAGGAACTAGTGGCAAGTTTATTTCACATGGCAGTCTCAAAACTTGACAATGTGGCAGGAAAAAAAAAAGAATCTGGCTAATGCACCTAACAGGTAGTCATTTATCATGCAATCTTACTTACCACACGATGTTGATTGCTGTAAAGAATAGGATGCAGACCTTCCGGGACAGAGAAGAGTACAGCCAACAGAGATAGATATTTCTAATTTTTTAAAAAATCCTTTATTATACTTTTATTCTATGAGATAAACCTTACTCTGGTACCTTACCTACATGGCCTGAAAAAGAGTATTTGGAATGGGGGGAATTATAACTGCCTCATACAGCAACCCTTTGCAGTTATGACAGGGATGAAAACTCTGTGATCAGTTTTTACAACTGTTGCAGGTCTATAAAGCAAAAAAGAAAAGCTAAAGACCATAAGCAAAGTTATGGCTTCACTTAGCACCCACTTTGCTTAACAAACAAGTTGCCGGCCCTAATAGTGGTTGCTAAATGAGGATTACCTGTTCAACATTCAGATGGATGATGCAGCCAAGAAACTTGTCTTTCATACTCAACTTTTATTACTACCTTTCTAATGGACAACTTAAACAGCTGTACTAAACATTGATATTTTCATTATTAATTACATTTACGAAGCTCACATTGATATTGAAAAGCATATATTGATTACCTTTATATCTTTTTTTTTCTTTTTAAGACCCTGTTATCCCTTTTATGAGGATGGAGTTGGGGCAACTAAATGGAGTTGCTGCACTTCCTGATGCCTAGACAGAATTTACAGCAGATATTTTCGTCTCTTTGCACCCTGACAGAGAAACTTCTATTGCTGCCTATTGCACTCTCAACCTTCCAAGTGGGAGGCAAGTATCTTCACCTCTAGGCCACAGCGCGTCTCTTGATTATCTTTATATTATATAATCCCAATATAATTCAGATAGACTCAGCCAAATGCTACTGCCCTTGCCTGTCCAAATGAATGGGATAGACAGAGAGGAAGTAATGAAATGAACTCATAGCCAGTTAAGAGTCCAAATATTAGTGTTCTTTGGGTTGTACAGATGTGAGTCTCAACGTCATCAATTTTTGCTGTTGCAAGAAACTTCAACATTTTCTTCAGAGGTATATAACCCAAATCCTCAGAAACACACGAAGACTTAGAACTACCCAAAACGCTCCAAAATTTTTACCTTTTACCAAATTGTGTTTTTACTGTACCAGAAGAGAAAGTGTTAACTATATAAAGTAATATTTAATATTAATTGGATTTTAAAATTAGTGAAATAAAATTACATTTAATTTTAATACTGCCCCTAATCATTAGTTCTAAAGGTGACGCTTTTGGCCCATGACATTTAGAGTCAGTCCACTATGGCGCTTCACTCAGAAGCTTCCAAATCTTTGTAATATCTCATTGTAGTTAATAAATTTTAAGCTAGTTTTCTTGTTCTTATCTAAGTTTGCAGCATCATTTGTTCTAGACTGATTGTTCTAAAACTTAGCTCACACTCACAGTCTACCTTACCAAGTTAAGTCCTTGTTCAGGTGGCAATTTAGCTTCCATATTATAAAATGGGCTTGATCTCATCTTCTTTCCAGATCTTCCAGGTTGCAGTAAATTATTAAAAGTCATGAGTGAACATACATAGAAATCAAATATATGTTTAAAAAAATCTTAATTTACCTCTTTAGGAAAAAAAAATGCAAATCAGTTCTTGGTTAACCTTTCAATTATAATTGAGTTTGATACCTATAAAGCAAGTTTAGTTCAAGATCTTATATCATTAATATATTAAATAGGTGTTTCTCCCCTAAAGAAAAAAAGTCTTTAAAATATTAAACAATTAAATCATTCCCAAATCACGGGACTCCTAAGACTCATTGTCAGCTTTAAAATCTGTTTGTTTTTTCTTCCTGTTGTATCAACAGCATTAGGCAACAAAACTGTGAATGCTCCATTGCCATTTTGACCTCTGCAGTACCCTTGAGACTCTGAGTCTTTGGGATAAAGATCATGGAACATTGGGAAAAGAAACTGTAGATGCATTCCAGGGCAAAAGATCATTGTGCTCAATAAGAAAATTATTAAATATCATATTCCCATTGAAACTGAAATCTTGTACAAAAATCAATAGATATGAAGCATACACAAAGCTCCCAAATGCATTCGTTTAGAAACTATGAAGCAAAAATAAATTATCTCTGAAGCAATCTAAATTTATAATGTCTAAGGGGGAATTCTAATGTTACGTGTCTAGTTTTTACTTGCACAATAGTGTAAGTTACTCTCTAGTGCAGACATCCTCCCTCAAATCTGCCCCATGGGATTCACAATCCTCCAGAGTTAATCTAATGAGGCAAGAAACTACAAAGAGGAAAGGCTATTTGATCCAGCAGTAGTTTCCATCCCATTGGTAGAAGGAGTTTTTAAATGCTATCCTAAAACTGCAATTCTTTGCATGCTGAAGAGTAAGATCCATGTAATCCACTGGGGTTTATATCAGAATTGGTAGATAGACTGTAATATTTGTTTAAAATTTTACCAAAGCTTGTAATATTTTTTCAGTTAATACTTCCGCTCCTTCCAGTAGCAAGCTACTTTCAAAGAACTGAACCTGTCGGAGGTCATTTATAAAGTGACTTAAGTTATGCTAATACTGCATAAAAGTGAATGAGATCATTCACACTGTTATAGCTTGAGGTCACAGCCAAAAAGGCACTTCAGTTGTCATCAGTATGCCTTTATTTGCATCAAAATTCTATCAGAATGAAAAGATGTGAAATATAGCAAAGAAATTTTGTTCATAGATACTATGTAGTCCAAGTCCTAGAACTTAGTATTTATCGCTAGGAATTGCAAAAAAAGAATGTTTAAATGCATCTTATTGCCAAGACTCTTTGGTTATAGGAAGTATGCCACAAGATTTCTACACCTGATGATTTTACAGAGTAGGGAAATTCATGGGAATATTTTAGTACAATTCAATAGATGTTTTTAAGTTTCTTGTCAAACTTAAAACTTATTCCTTCTAAGCCATTGGCAGATTTATTTCTAGATGCTAGAATCCTTCCAAAATATAAACAAAATCTAAAAATGGCAGCATAAACTGAATCCATTTAAGTAAGTTTCTATCTGCACTCTTAGCTTGTAAGATGCTTTTGCCAATATATCTTTCCCCCATTATCATGTTAGTCTGACAGATTTCCCTGATGTTAAAAACTTCACATTGGAGCTGTTAAAATCAAATACAGTCTCAGAAAGACATCAGAAAATTATTAAGTGAGTTATTGAAAAGACAACCCAGCAATCCAGAGTTGTATAATTCATGGCTGAGAGATTTTGTGACTGAAAGGCTATTATTTTCCCAGAGGGATTGCTGCATAACATTTTGCTGAAAGCAAGATAAATGCTCACAGAGAGGTATATACTTATCAAAGCCCCCGACCCCCCTATTTAAATCTTCCATCCATTCAATCAAAATGTCAGCTTCCCCCCAAGTTCATGCCACCCTTTCAGGACATTTAAAGTGATTCAGCTGGGAATTTACTATTGAACAGCAGCATCCTAGGAAGAAAGTGACATCTCTGACCAGTGGTTAAACAGAAATGCAGGTTGTGCTATTCTTTTTACCTCTTCTATGTGCTATTTGAAATTAGGACAAGCTTCAAATAATTGAAAGTCCAGCCCCCACCTGTTGAACAGTTTGGATCCATCCATCCAGGTTTCTCTGAGGAAAAAGACACAAGTGGCAGAATCTCATTCACTAGGATTTTTCACGGGGCACTTGGTTTGTCCTAAAACAACCTTGATTTACTTGCAGTGACTTCCTTTTCTTACTTGGATTCTACCAGGCACGCTGCCTCCAGTTTAACCGAGACTGAAAACACGCAGAAGACCGCTTAAAGCCGGAGAAGAGCATTCCCGATCGTTAAGAAAACCGGGCAAAGAGGGGGGAGAAGTCGGTTTGCTCGCAAATGTCAATAGATCATATAAGCACCTCCACCTCCACCCAAATTATAACGTCCCCTCAATCCATTTATAAGATCCGATTTTCCACTTTCGAATGCAAATCAGGAAGCTGCACTGCCGCGCGCAAAAACGCGCGCCTTACGCGCGTGAGCGCGCACACATACACACACACAAAACACTAAGAGCAGCAGAGAGAGAGAGAGAGAGAGAGAGAGAGAGAGAGAGAGAGAGAGAGAGTATATCTGTTATCCTCTAGACACGGTACCCAAAACAGAAAATGCAAAGCTGGAAACGTTACAAACTCCGGGCAATGTCAAATTCCTGGCTCCTGGAGAAGCAACGAGACGGCCGGGGATTTACAAGTAACTGTTATAAAGCAGCCTCGTTCATTGCAGCCGATCCAAAGAAACTTGGTCGCTCCTTCGCTTTCTTTCCCCACTTGACCCCCAGCCGCCCCAACTTATTTCCAGATTCGTCCCCAACGAGTCAGGCTACTCACCCCACCTCGGTTGCTGGAGGTTTGTTGTTTTTTTCCCCCCAACTTGAGCGCCTCTTCTTCAAAGTGCGTCCAGGATGGGACAAACTTGCCTTTCGCGGGGGCGGGGAGGGGAGGCTCGCCTGTCCCGAGCAAAGCTGAGTTCTTCAGCAGCGCCCCTTCCAGCAGAGTAATTCCATGGAGAGCGGGGAGAGGGAGGGGAGGGGAGACCGTGGAAGCGCGAAGCGAAGCGCGAGTCGAACGAGCCCGTTAGGAAATCATGGTGCCTCCTGCTGCGGGGCCAGCGGCGCGGGCAGCTTCGGGCATGGAGGGAGCCAAAAGCTCAGCTGCCTCTTTTTTTCTCTCTCTCTCTCTCTTCCTTTTGGTAGCTCCCTGGCAGAAGCCCTCCTCACGCCCGGGCAGTGCGGGGCATCCTCGAAGGAGCGGGAGCCCAGGCGGGGGCTGCTGCCTGTCACAAGTCCACCCCGCTTTCGGCACTTAGCGCATGCTGCACTCACCCGGATGCTGCTGCCTTGCCCGGCGAAACATTGCTGTGGAGAACACACCTGGACCCGCTGCTGCTGCTGCCGCTGCAACCCCTCGGCTGGCCGGCAGTCTAGGAAAAAGAAGGAAATTCCCGCTTTCGCTGTCACCTTCCTCTTCCTGGCTCGGCTTGCCCGCTGCCGGGCTTCCCCTGGCGCTCGGCTCTCCCCTCCCCGCGCCTCAGCGGCACTCTCCTCGCTTCCTGCCTGCGGGATTCCTGGCGGAGTCCAGCGAAAGAGACGGCGCTGGCAGAGGCAACACCAGCCGCGTTTAACGCCAAGCTCGCCTCAGCGGCGTCGGCGGCGACGGCAGAGACAACAACCACCGGCAGCCCCAACCAGCCAGTAGGAAAGCCCCCCCCCCCCCCCCCCCCCCCCCCCGAGCCTTATGGCTTTCCCACGTGCTGCGTCTTTCCCCGGTTTATGTTGGCGGAGGGGGAGAGGCCAAAGGGGAACAGCTCGCGCCTGCCCCACCCCCTCTGCGCGCCGTGCTACTGGGACTTTCCCTTGCCGCCGATGCCAGGAATCCCGCTTTGCCAAGCTCGCATCCTTGGAGGAAATGGAGGGAAAGGATGGCCTGCCTTCAAAACCTGCAAGATGGGGCGCCGCAGCAAGCCGCCTTGATTTATAGCCCAGGGACCTGTTTCCAAGCTTTCTCTCTCTCCCAGCTCACCTGACGCTACTCGCGGTCAGTCATCCCGCGAGTCCATATATCGCTAAGTGTGCGGGCAGCATTTCAACTTGTTTGCTCCTGTTTGGATAAGGTCACCTAAGCTAGGCATGGGACAAACATGATAACCTAAGTAGAGTATTCTCTCCCCCCCCTCCCACCACCATATCCCACCTCATTGACATCCTCAGGATTGGTGGCGAGTGTAAATGTGTGTGCGCGCGTGCAAATGATACCTCTTGCAATGTGATGCTGAAGTCAGGCAAACCGTTGTCTCTTAAGTTCTTGCATGTAAGTATGAAATCACATTATTTGCATAGGTGGCCATCCTTCTGGTTTCTTTCCTACCCTGCTTTCTATCCTCATGACATTACCTTCATCTGATTTCTAGCCCATGAATGAATGGTTTTACAAGATGGCTACACCAATTTTTAAGGAATGATTTCCCCCTTCAGCTAGCAAGTAACCTGTGTTAGTTTCAAGGTGAGTGTATTTTGACATGCTTCACTGTATTCTGTTTATACTACAGTTTGAGGGCCTCTAGGGGGAGTGGGGAAGGGAGAGGGTGGGTGGTGGGAATACCCAGCACCTATTGGCCACTTCAGGCAGCAACACCAGATGCAGTCACACTTCCCTCCCTTGGAATCCTGACTCTATTCTCTCCCTTTTCCCTCCAGTAAGAAAGACCAAAACAAAGCAGCAACTGCACCTTCGATGTAGTGAATAAGGAAGATGACCTTGATAGAGATCACTTATTTATTTGTTTATTTAATTTATATAGCCACCTATCTCACCAAAAGCAATGATGCCTAAGGCAAAAGGGACTGAAGCATTTTCAAAGTCCAGAATGGCTCAGAAAGGGCTCAGACGCATACAGTATTCACTGAGCTATAAGAAGGAGGAGGAGATACAACACAGACTTGTAAGATTTTGTTATTGTAATAAAATCTCAATAAAATTACTTTTAGCTTTCTTGTGGAATTGATTTCCTAATCAAGCCTACCTTGTGGGGCTGACAGATAAGTAGTTCTCTACAATCTGCCAAAGATCTAAATGAATTATCTTGGCAGAAAGGGGAAGAACTGCAGTCAGGGCAGTGGTTGAATAAAGGGCAGCTTATCCCTCCCTTGGAATCATCTCAGAAGGGACCCTCCCCAGTTTCTTGGGCTATAAAGACACAGGGGCGGAATATACAGTACTTTCAGACTTGCAAGATTCTGTTAATGTAACCTTACAATAAAATAGAGCTAGTTTTTTCTTGGTGTACTTGCTTGGATTACCTTGCAAGGCTGACATCAGTAAAATGAGAGATTGGCTCTCTCAAATTTCAGGAACCCCCATTTTACGTGCTGTTCTCCCAGTTGCTAATCAGCTGTCAGACAATCTTGTTTTGACAGAGGATTTAGCATGCTTTCAAAATTCAACAGTTCCACTCCACAACCTCACTGCCAAAACAACTTCTATGACCAGCTGATTGGCAAGAGGGGAGAGAGGGAGATGCTTACTGAAGCAAGAAGCCTACCAGTTGATTGTTAGAATTATCCAATAAAGTGGACAGAAAGTAACTCTTTTCTGTTATGTTACTGCAGAAAAACTGCAACTACTTGTAAATGCAAACCATTTTTTTGGTCCTCATTTCCGGAAACAACTCTGAACAACTATTTTGTCCTGCCTTCCATATAACAGCCCTTTAGATGAGAACTATCAGGGATCCTCACAGCCTTCTGCAGGCTATCTAGTTCCTCCAACCATTTTTCATTGGGTTTTCTTTCCTGTCCCCCATCTTGTCATCATTCTTTTTTTTTTTTTCCTCCATTGGAAAAAAATGCAGTTTTTCAATGTTCCTTCCAGAGTGCTTTAGTGGTTCATAACAAGCAAGACAGCAACTACTATATCATGACTGAAGCTTTTGCACATGCATGACGCCCAGAAAATAGGTAGAGCTTTAATTAATTTTTTATGTCTATGTTATTTTATTGTTTGGCTGTTCACCGCCCTGAGTCCTTCGGGAGTAGGGCGGTATACAAATCGAATAAATAAATAAATAAATAAATAAATAAAAATTAATAACAGAATAATAACAGAATAACAGAGTTGGAAGGGATCTTGGAGTTCCATCCCTATATCATTTCAGATGAATGGCTGTCCAATCCTGTCTTAAAAATATCCTGTGATGGAGCATCCACAACTTCTGGAGGCAAGCCGTTCCATTAATTAATTGTTCTCACTGTTACTGAATTTCTCTTAGTTCAAGGTTGCATCTCTCCTTGATAAGTTTCAAATCTGTTACTTCTTGTTCTTGCCTTCAATTATGATGTCAATATCACCATCTTGTTTGTTTTGAGATTATTTACAGATGTTGCTTGTACTTTCTAAAATGCTAGAACTGGATGCAATAATCTAGATGTTGACTGACCCACAAAGAGGAACAATGTCTTCTCTTGGTCCTGACATAGAATATATTTCTTTTTTTCATAGATGCATCATACAATGGGATGATGTTCAGCCTGTGATCTATCACAATATCCTTCTTGCATGTGCTGCTGTCCAATATCATCCCCCTTCCATACTCATGCCTTTGATTTTTCTAATCCAAACTAGAACTTTGCATTTGTCCCCATTGGAGTACATCTGGCTAGTTTGGACCCATTTGTTAAGCTTGTCAAGTTCCCACTGAATTTTAATACTGTCTCTAAGGAGTTTGCTGCCCTTCCCATCTATATGTCATCTGTAAATGCACGATTGAAGTTTTGTAATCATTGTAATCATCCAAATTATTAATTTGTTAAGCAGCACAGAGTTAAGCAGAATGCAGTTCAAGACTTCCTTTCAGCTTGAAACAGAGCTACTGAGGTACACTGTTTAGATAGGATTGTTTAACTAGCTTTGATTATTTTCTAATAGAAATTGAAGATATTTCCAATTCACTTGAGAATAAAGTAAAAAATAAAGATGAGGAGAAGGCTGGGAAATGAGCAGCTTTCTCTGCAAAGTAAGAAATAATTCAGACAAATGAAAAATAAAATTTAATACAGCAGGTGGCAGCATATAGCTGATTTTGGTTGATCTAAAAATTTAGGAAAGACTTGGATGGGAGACCATGGAGAAATTCAAGAGTGAAAGGTTAGACTGGGAAGCAAAAACACATGGGAAGCGCACACACACAGACACACAGACAGACACACAGTAATTCCGGACAGAGGCAATGCCAGATTTCCATGCTGCTTAGATGTATCCTTCTACAAGGATCAACATCTGTTGTCTTCTCAAGATTAAATAGATCAAAAATTATTCAATCCGCAAATCATTCCTATAGCTGAAACTATTAATGTGGTTACTTTCTGGATTCAGACATTCCCAGTTAGATTCTTTTACATGTACTCTCTAAATAGGGATTTTTTTTTCTGTTGTGTTTCTTCCAATGTTATTGTTTTTAAACCAAGATTACAAAAGAGTACAAAAAAATAAACAGTGGTGGAAGCAACAAAATACTAAAGTCAATAACAAAAAATAGAAATGCAATCTTGGAACAGAAAAAAAGAAATAACATTAAATGGTTTAATGTTTTAGGAAAACATTAAGTTTTCATAATAAAAGAATAATTTGTTGATCCCATGTGAACTATTATTGAATAATTTGTTCACATCCCATGTGAACTATGAATTCAAAAGGGTTTTTCAAATTGACTGTAATCCCATTCCATAGTTTCGGGCAGTCCAAATCAAACATGACAATAACTCATTAGTTAAAAATTTTCAAAACAGAAAAACTTACTTGCCATTAATCCCATCAAACTGGGATTATCCCAAGGAGAATAAAAAAACTAAGAAAATAATACTTATAACATCTTCCCCAAATACCCTGATGCCTTTAATAATGGAAATGAAACAATAAAAATAAAATAAATAATGAAATAAAAAAAAGATAGGACAAAACAAGATAAGATAAAAGACTATAGAAACCAAATGGATGTTATTAGGGATAATCCTCAAATTGCAACTACAATTGGAACCAGAATTTCCATTGCTAAGCAAGGGAGCGGTTAAGTAACTCATGCTTCATTTTATGACCTTTTTGGCCACGGTTGTTAAGCAAAGCACCACAGTATTAAAATGAATCATATGGTCTTTAAACAAATCTGGCTTTTTCCTTTGATCTTGCTTGTAGGAAGTATTATGGGAAGGTCACAAATAGCAATCACATGATCCTGAGACTTTGCAACGATCATAAATACATAAATACATTTCACTTGCCAAGCCCCCAAATTTTGATCACATTACCATGGAGATGTTGTAAGAGTTGTAAGCCACTTTATTCAGTGCCATTGTAACTTTGAAAGGCTATAAATCGAGGACTATCTGTAAAACAAAGTGGTCAAATAAGAACTTAGTTGTGCCTATAATGGTTTTTCAACTGAGCGCTTAAAATTCCATGAATAAACAGAAATCAATAACAGCTTTGTGTTGCGTTAAAGCGGAAAATCAGGAATAGTTATAATTTAGATAAAATCTAGGGGTTTGTCCTTGACATAGAAAATGTTTTAATAAATTACAGATCTCTACAAATATCTTAAAAGGTATTAAAACTGGAATATCTCTAAGTATGTAAGTAATTTTGAAATAATACTTATTCAGGGAGTATGAAGGCTATTGCTTAACACATTGTAAGCCGCCCTGAGTCTCCGGAGAAGGGCGGCATATAAATCGAACCAATAAATAAATAAATAAATAAATTTATCTTTTCTCATAAGTTCATTTAACTATTTGTTTATATCAGATAAAGAGTTTGATAAGTTACATTTACAAACAATATAGTTTATTTCTGGTAATTGTTCCAGGAGAATTAGAGTAAAAAGTAGCATTCCCATTTTTACTAACTACCATGGTACCAAGGATGCATTAGATCCTATAGAAAAAATGTGAGACTTATTCCAATTAATTGAAAAACCTGAGAATTCACCTAAGTATTGTACTATATTAATATATATCAAAGTAATAGATTTATAACTGTTAATATTTCAATTCTTTTTTTTTTTTTTGCAGGTCAGCAAGCCAGACTGAATAAAATTTATCAAATAAAACCTACAAAGCAGAGCCTACAATTGCACTTGCACTATTTTGCTATCAGCAATATATGGCTTTTGCCAGCTGCAAAAACAAATTTTGCAACAGCAATAATTATCTTGGGGTTCTTATCTGCTAGTAACAATTGCATGTAGAACTTTTCAGTCCATCTGAGATATGGAATTAGAAGAGGTCTGTATGTCTCGATAGAAATTGCAACATAACAGAATATGAATTTGTGTTTCAATAATCTCACCATTACAAGAACAAAGCCTTTCCGCATATGAAGTTTTATAAAGTTTTCCTTCCAGCTCTGCTGATGGCATCATACTGAATTACAGTAGTTTAAATGCTCATTGCAATTTATTGCTTGTGGATTGATCTAGGTAGAATGCCACTTTGAAATGTGCATTCTTGTGTCCCAGTTGTGCCCTTGACAAGAGATTACCATAATCTGACTATAATTCTGACTGTAATTCAAGGAACCTTTGTTTAAGCATCACCATTGCCTGATCTGGTCCCATGTGCAGGAATCTCTTGAAAAACCTAATTTGCATATTTTCTTTTCTCAATTTGGAATTTCCAGGATGTATGATCAATTAATGTTAGTTCAGTCAGACCTTGGGGTTAAAAGTGAACCAATATTTAATTGTGCAAACCATATCGTTGTTTTGACTTTGATAAATCCTGCCTCCAGCCTCAAGGTAGGCATTTTGCCACCTGGAATAGCTTTCTTAGAATTTCTGCTGTATTCTTTCCAAGTTCTGGTAATTAATTCCTAGGTTTAACTGGGCTCTGTATAACAGCTAGAATAATGTCTTAGCTTCAGAAAGCTTGAGGGCAGATGGTATATATTGGGCACTTCTGGAGAACAAGAAAGAAAGAATTGCTGCTCAACTCCTCTGGGTATGTAGTGCTTCACGGAGTGGTGAAGCACAAATCCTAAGAATTGAAGCTGGGAATCTGCTCTATTTTCTGCCTTCAAGAGTCCAATGCAGTTTTTTTTAAAAAAACATGGCAAGACTTAGAAAACTACTTACCTGAACTGATGATAACTTACCCAGAAGCAAAGGTTATTATAGGAGGATATTTTAATGCAAGACATGGCCCTGGTGACTTGGTCCTATATTCAAAGTGCCACAAACATCCTACATAAATGTATTTGTCACCAATGTTGAGAGGGAAGGAGGTAGGGAGGGAGGGAGGGAGGAAGGAAGGTAGGAAGGAAGATTGGTAAACTAGTGGGGAACTTGACAGAAAGTCACCAATTTTATAACCACTTACTGTACATTTGATGCAAAGAAAATTAGAAGCTACTTTCTATTTCTTTTCATCCTTTTTTGTACTTATTATTTTTGTTTTTTTATTGTATACTAGTTTGTGTTAGTTTTTAAATCTTCCTCTCAAAATTCTTAATAACAAATAATAAAAATAATAGATTATATAGCCCTTTTCTGAGGATTTGAGAACTTTCTAAGACTGCAAAAGTAGGTGCAAAGGATGACAGGATAGAGCTAGCAGATATTCCCTTTCTATTGGACCAGGAAGGGTGCTATTTTCAGAACGTTATTAAGACACAGCATATTATCAGCATATAATAACTATATTCAACCATTCCAGTTTTGTTTCTATTCCAGAAGAGCCTTCAACTTCTTAATAAGAGAGGAAAGTGATTCCAATATTGTATTAAATATAAGAAGAAATAAGTGAAACATTGGCAAGTTCCACTGCACATCTTAATAGACTAAGAAATAATTACATTTCTGATAATATTGGCAAAAGGATTAGGATACCATATATGGATCCAATTAACAGAAAAGAAGCCTATCTTTGGCAAAAGCCAGTATACATTATCAAAAACCTTTTGATCTGGAATGCAATGAAATCATCAATGTTGGTTCCAGTTTTTATTAATGTGTATCCAAAATATAAATTAATAATTTAATATTATCTGAGACGTGTCAACATTTCATAAAGAAATACTGTACATGAAAGATAATCAAATATAATATTATATTTACCAGGTATGCTATCAAAATCTGACATAACAGTCAGCAAGGAGATCAAAGAGTGGCCCAAAATTACCCAGCCAGCTTTCTTGGCTGAGGAGTAATTATAATTCACTGTCTCCTGGTTTCTAGCCTGATTCCTTCACCACGACTAGATCATATGATTGGAGAGAGAAAAAATTGCTAGATATCTTTTACCACTTACTGGATAGACATCAGGATATTTTTCCGTTTTTATATTTTATATTTCTAAATATAGCTTACTTTGGCAGGCTAGCAATTGCATCAATTTCTTCAGTATTTTTTATTATCATAGTAATTAATGAATAGTTATTAATGAATATTAAAATATTACATCATCAGATTAAAAAGATTTCTGAATCATTTATTTTTTAAAGTTACTACACTCCTAGGAAATGATGTATTCCCAATAATGGTATGTTAGACTACCTTACCTTATAAATGTAAAATAATGTTTCTTGTAAAAAATAACTAAATTTTTTTAAGTTGCCCAACTTAGTATTTGAAGATCTTAGTATCTTAGTATCTCTTCAAAGAATATGTAAAACCTTTATACTCCCCAAAGTCCTGTAAAATTGTAAGTAAAAAAACTTCACATTGACAAAGCCATATTTCCATAAGTCAAATAAATAAAAACAATCAGTTTAAAAAAATTAAATAAAAGAAGATGAAAAATTACAAATAAATAAAATTAAGAATAGAAAAAGATTTTAAGAGAGTATTATCTCTTTTATATATTATAAAAGCTAAACTGAAAAAATTAGATCTACAATTCCTACAAGTACACTAAAAATTCAGTACAGTTGCGTGCCCTAAACCAAATTGGTTAATCTGTTGTTTAAATAAAAAATATTAAGTGTTCCATAAGACTCCTACCTTTTCATTTCAGATAACCCAAAACATCACACTTTTTCCTTTGCTCTTTCATAGCAGAATTCATAGATTACCTCTGAAAAAGAAAAAGAAAATCCTATTCTATGCAGCTGCTAGCTAAACTTTACTAAATGATTTGTAGAGCTGGATCTAGAAAATGAATTATCTTCTTTACATTCAATTTCAAAAATCCTATTTGCTGAGATATACAATATGCAGAATGTGGTGCCATTCTCTAGATCTCAAAAATATCACAACAAGAAAATAGAACTAGCTTTTGTTCAGACTGTACTTTAAGTAGCTTTGATTTCAAGTTAATACTTTGGTATAATTTTTTTCCAGAGTTTATCTTACTCATGTTGGATTCTAAAATCCTAAATAATACTCTAAACCAGGGGTGTCAAACTCATGGCTCGCGGGCCAGATGCATCACGTGCTGGCCATGCCCACACCCCAGTTTAGTGAAGGGGGGAAAGTCACGATACATCATGTGACGACGTGACTCGCAAGTTTGACCCTGCTCTATACTTTGCAATTAGATTACTCTATTCTGTATACTTTTATTTCAAAACCGTTTCCACATTCATGGCACTTTTTTTTAGCATTTTGAAACTAAATGATTGTAATTGCATGTGACTGAATCAACCAAGGTTGTTGTCCATTATTTGCTAATCTAAAATATCAAATCTGAAGTTCACTTCCAGAAAATGTATATCTGCATAAATGCAGAGATTGTAAAAGTGTATAATCCTGTTAAAATACTGTTAAAAAGGGAGACAACTTCACATGGGTTTATTTATTCCTTTTTATTTGGTTTTATAGCTTATTCAACCTGCTTTTTTTTTATTGAAAAAGTTTTTCAAATACAGATTTTCCCCCTTTCCCCCCCCCTCCTCCCCCCCACCCCCCTCCCCTTGACTTCCTCATAGTAAAACCCAAGTTCATAACAGATTATATCATACTTTACTATCCACATACTCAATCTCCATATACTGACCCTTTCATTTTAATAAGATTATCATACCCCCTGTATACTATGCTATAATAAGCATTTCAAAGTGACATTCTATTATAACATTATCTAATAACTCCTGATTTAAAGTAATAATATTATTATATCTCCCAATTTAACAATTTCTACTCGTAGTCTACCCTTTTACTACCCCTCAGACAATATAACATTTCAAAACATACTTCTATTCTAAGTATTCAAAAAGTCCTAATTTAACACTTATTCAGTTCCAGTAGCCATTTCGTTTCCCCCCTTCATTACAAATATTCACATCTAAACATTTCTTTAAAATAAACAATCCATAACCTAACCTTTCTCCACCCACTTTCCTACAGAATTACCATAATTATTCTTAATATCTTTGTTCTTCTACCCAATCCCCTAGAAAAATATTCCCTTATGTAAATAAGATCCTAAAAAAAAAAAAAAAACTTTAAACTTATGATCCATATAGCATCTTCTGGAATATCTTTCAACTGGATGATGAACTCCACCCATGTTAGGGTAACATCGCATCCTTATTCCAACAGTATTTTCGATATCTTCAGTTACCATCTGCCCCCATCAGCAACAAATATCTTCATATTGGAAAAGAAAAAACCCCGACAACCACCCGAGTGACTTTATAATTATATTCCATATAATGTTTATGGAGGTGTCTTTGATCCAGATAATTGGTTCCAACCATCATAATAGGGTAACAACCAGATCTTCTGCGTGCCCCAATCCAATAAGTCTCTTGCCATATAGCTCAGCATACACGTATTTATCCGGAACTCCAAAAAACAAACAAGATATTTCCAACCATTTGGTTTAAGGCCTTTTTCACACCCAATAATTCAGCACTGCAGAGATCTGCCACTCTCCTCAGGATAAAATAAGCCAATATTTTGCCCATTATCTTTTTATATATTCAGTCCTCTCATAAGTAACTGGCATTACACTGTTGTTTAATTTAAAAAATTTTTATGTTTGTGAGACCTACTTCTTCTTTTCTTAACTTCTTGTGGGTTGGATCTCCATCCTAAACTCCTTTCTGTAGATTGTGTATCAACTATTTGGTTTTGCTGAAGAGTAGCTTGATCCTGTTGGGTTTGCATCTGTGGCTGAGATCTTTCTGGTTCTGTAAATTGTATATCAGCTGATTGACTTACATGCTCGTTTGTGGCTTGACAAATCATTGCATTAGGGTCCGGAACCGCCTCTCTTATATTAGATAATCCAGCTGAGGCCTCTGAAAGAGGATCCAAAAGCGGCTCATCTATGGAGACCTCTTTAATTTGTTGTTTCTTCGTTATTTCCATCTCCTTCTGCTTTTCTTGGGTTTCTATCTCTTGTTGATTTTGCTTTTTAAGTACCTTATAATAGAATTCTTCCGCTTTTTCAAGAGTATTTAACTGATATCTTACTCCTTGATATCTCAATATTATACCCACTGGGACATCCCACCTGTATAAGATATTCTGTCTTCTTAACTCAGTCACCAAGGGCCCAAATTTCTTTCTATCTCTTAAGATCTTAGGCGGCAATTCCTTATATATCCAAATTTTTCTCCCATTCAGTTGTAAAGTAGAGTTAAAGGATTTTTGCAGAATATCATTTCTTATCTCTTTTTCTGTAAAGTAAATTACCACATCTCTAGGCAATTGCCTTTGCTTGGCAATCCAGGAATCCACTCTGTAAGCCTTATCAATTTTACTGATTACGTCCCCGTGATGAACCTTTAAGATCCCAGCCAAAACTTGAGCAGATGTTTTTCTTAAGTCATCACTATTATTTTCCTGTAAGCCTCTAATTCTGATCGCAAATTCTGTGATCCTGTATTGCAACATTACAGCCTCTCTTTCAATTCCTTGCTTTATATCTTCTAGATTATAAGTCTCGTGACCAGCTTCTTCTTTAGACTTTACTTCTAAACTATTATCTCGAATATTTGCTAAGTCCTTTTCAATTCTTAATATTTTATTGTCCAAGTTATCAATTTTCTCCATTTTAGACTCTAGCAATTTAATATTTGTATCCAACTTTATCGCAATTTCTGAAAAACCATTAGTCACTGTTACAATCTTTTGTTGCAAATTATCATACTTTAGTTGTATCATTTCTTTAATTTCCTGCCTTAAATTTTCAAATTTCTGATTCACAGTTTCATAATATTTTGCCATTTCCTCCTGAATAAATTCTTTTAAATTACATCCATTCTGCAGAGTCTGTAGGCTCAGAGAGTGGGGGAGCACCCCCCCCCTTTCTTGTCTGTCAG